CTGTGTGTTCAGAGCTGGTTCTGAATGCCATTGGTGTACAACTGGTAAATTACAGTACTTGCCAGAACATTGAACCTCCTACTCTTACTCCCTTAATAGTATAGTGGAGAACTGGAATTGATTGCATTTGTTCTCAAGCTGAACTGTTGACATAAATGGATTTCCACAGTCTACCCCATTGATACTACTTCCCTGGAGTCCCTTAGAGACATAGGTCCTCCCTCAAAGGGCTGTGTGTAGGTTCTGTAGTTCTAAGTAGCTCAAGTCTTTCTGGTTTTATCCTGTCCTCATAAGTGCCATGTCCCAAGCCCATAAAGTTCAATGTAAAAGTTCTGTCAAGTTCTCCATGAAAAAAAAAAAAAAACATGCTCCTGATGATAGTATCTAGGTAATAACCATCACAATAATAATAGAAATAATATCTTACATTCACTAATCACTTATATTATAGGTTAATGATTTGCATGTTCTGATTGAAACTTATAGATACACGTTGCCATTTTACAGCCAGAGAAACAGAGGTCCAGATATGTGCACGAGTTGGAAAGCTGACTACAAAGTTGGGCACAAAGAAGGAAGGTTAAATTGCATTTAGTTCCAGTCTTAGGACCCTGTTATTGGGCAAGTCCACTGTGAGGAGTTCCACTGTGAGGCGTTCCACCTCAAAGTATGGCAAGTCAGTGGTTCCCCAGTGCTTGCAGGATAAAAATTAAGATCTTTGGAAAGAACTTCCCCTATGTGAACCCGACTTCTTCCCCAACTCAGCACACCCTAACACAGAGACTCCATTTTGCTCCAACAGATCACAGCTCTTGACAAGCTCAAGATGTGTTTTACCTTAGCACCTTTGTGCAGTGGTTTCCTGGTTTCCCTATCTCATCATTGACTGCATATTCCAAATTTAGCTCCTTCCCCAAGAAGCTTGCCCAGATTTGTCAAAGGCTACCCCATTGCTCCTCCAATGCTTGACTATTCTAGTGGATCTCCCTAAAATCATGGGCTCACCAAGGTCAAGAGCTGCAGCTAGTTCATTTATAACCCCAGCACTTAAAAGGCCCTCTAGAAATGTTTATTGATCTATTAGAAATAGATTATAAGTGGGATCCCTGCAGATCATAATTGAGAGTAGTCTGTAATGGCTTCATTTAATTTTGTTAGCATTGAAGTTGTGATTCTTTGCATGTGATCTCCCTCTATTTGCTTTTGTCTTACTGGTCAGCACTTTTAGACATTAGGTACATGGTTTTGACACTAAGTAAAATTGATGACTGAGTGTGACACCTCCATTGGCTAAGACAGCACAATTTTGTTCTTTGTGCTTTCCTTTTGCAACCAGAGTCTTCTTAGCCCGGGCATAAGTCTGTGATCTTTCCAGGACGATGCCATGTGTTCCTTTTATGTCTTGATTCATCACATATTGCAGAGAGTGTTAGCTTAGTAAGACTTTTTGCTTCATGAAAATGTCACCAAATATGCCATAAAGGGGAAAGCACCAGATGTCTGTTAGCAAGGAAAGCAAAATCCTGGTTTGTGAAGATTCAGGGAGTCCAGGGCTCCCCAACAATTTCCCAACTGGAGGTTTGACTGTGCTCTATGTGGGGCCTCAGAACTGACCTCCATATTTCATTTCAATGATCATTCTGGAAAAACTTGTTAACTGTATAGCTGATCTGAGGCCTAGACCCTGTTGTCTGTTAGTTTTCTCAGTTTCAAGCTGAAAACTAAGACAGACTTGCTGGATAATTTTGATCAAAGTAACATGTGTTTCTGTGCTATTCCATAATTAATTTGGTTTTTAAACCATTTTATGGAGGGGTGATTGGCATACAGAAAGCTGTATCTATTGTATGCATACAACCTTATGGGTTTTGAGATAAGTATAGGTCCATGCAACTGACACTACTTTTATGCCATGAATCTACCTCCAAAAGTTTACTCCCACTCTATTGATTCATTATAATTTTTTAAAATATTTAATTTTTACTTGTAGTTTGACACAATACCTTTATTTTATTTATTTTTATGTGGTACTGAGGATCAAACCCAGGGCCTCACACTTGCTGGATGAGTGCTGTACCGCTGAGCCACAACCCCAACCCTATGTATTCATTATAATTTTTATTAGCTTTCCTCTTCCTTTGAATGATCAGAACATTCTCAGACAGTGCATAGTTGTCAGTGAAACAGGTCATTCACAGAAGTTATATAAACTTGTTGAAACATAATCAAAGTGATATTCTAGTGCTCAGCTTGGGATAAAGGATAATAAAACAAAATGTTCTTTGTTTTGGAGAAGGGAATTGGTGATGTGGTGGGATTTGTTCAAGGTGTTAGTGGCAATAATAAAGATGTAGACTTGAGGTCAGTGTTGTAAAATACAATTTTGCTTCCTGGTCACCTTAAAATTGATGTGCAAATATGATACAATTCAGGAAAATGTGCATTCTGTTCACTTTTGTTATAATTCCTTATTACACATGGGAGTAAATGAGGTTCAACAGATGAAAATAATAGTAAGATTTCAAGAGAAAATAAAACGAAACACTTTCAAATCTAATAACTATAAAATTTAAAATATTTTAATGACTTTAAAATGTCAATTCACTAAAAACCCCAACACCTTACTTTCCTTAGGAAAATACTTTCAATGATGTACCCAGATGGGAAAACACTTACAAGGATTAGAATTCTCAGTCTTTGATGGGGAAAATCTCTTAGCTTTATCAGTTGTACTTTCTATTATGCATAACAGACCCAAGAGCTGCTTCTGACCTGTTAACTAACTAGAAGGAGCTCGTGAAAAGGTAGACTGAAAACTGGCCAGGAGGCCAGTGGACTGAGCTCACCAGCTCTGAAATTTAGAAAGATGGGAGTAGGTCAGCTCACTGCCTAGGCTACCTTCATTATTTTTCTCCTCTTGTTTTATATCAGAGACAGGTTTCCTGACATATGGGTTTCTATTAAGGAGTGAAACAAAAGATCAGTAGCCTGAGGTGACACAGGGGAAAAAAATACTCAGCTTCTCCTACTTTGTACCCTTTATGCCCTTTGTTGTTTTGAGGCTCAGACCCAGGAAACAGATTTGGGATCCAGGCAGGTAGAAGATGTAAGAAGCAGTTAGGATAGTAGACATGCTTTATTCAGAGGTGGCAATGACCTCCAGCTTCAGCCCCCAGCCAGTTCCATTTTTGCCCCTGTCAGTTCCATTTAGACCCCTTTTTATATATAGTTCAAACAAAAAAGGCACACTGCCTGACATAGATAGGTAGGTAGGTAGATAGATAGATAGATAGATAGATAGATCTATATCAGTGGGCACTGATGTAAATGTTTATGATCTTAAGGGCACAAACTGAATCAAATTGTTTCTGACCTTGACTACATCCTGACCATGACTTGGGTGATTCATGGCCTTGGCTACATACTAACAACAAAACATAAAACATAACAAAGCCCACCAGAAGCCTCAGTGAGACAATCTAACTATAGCCATTTGGGGCCTGCCCCAACACCTCACAATATGGAACACTTCTTCTGTGACCTTTGGTCAACAAAGTACGTGAAGGAATTTCTACCCACTAGCACCATCTCTCTGGCAAATACTCATTGGATGTCCTATAATTCAGTTCAGTTCTGACACCCTCTACTTGGAGATAGCATCAAATTGAGAACTGAGTCCCACAGGACTGTGCCCCACTTCAAACACCAAATGAAAATAACAGGTTGTCACCTGTACTTCTAACAGATCGATCAGCTATAAATTGGGATTCCCTTGATCCCTTCCTCAGGTTTACTTAATTTGCTAGTAAAGCTTACAGAACTCAGGAAAACTCATATTTACGTTTACTGGTCTATTGTCAAAGATTCCACTATCTTTCCAGATAACCCGATGGATAGGGCGAGGTATCAAAAAGGCAGGTCCAGCACATCCGTGCCCTCTAAGCATTTCCAGGAGTTCAGTAAACTGTCAAGTCTCCAAACCCAGACCTTTGAGTTTTATGGAAGCTTCATTACATAGGCAAGATGGATTAAATCATTAGTCAGTATTGATCAGTTTAACTATCAGTTCCTCTCTCCTCCCAGAGGTTGAGGAGCAAGACTGAAAAGTCCCAATTCTCTAATCACTGGGTTTTCCTGTGCCAACACCCATCCTGAGGAAGGGAGCCTCCAGATACCAGTCAACTCATTAAAAGAACACTTATTGCCCCAGAGATTCCAAGGATTCTAGCAGCTCTTAGGCCAGGAAACAGAAGGAAACAGAAGGACCAAATATACACTTCACAATATCACCGAAATAACTTACTGGCATGGAGGTAAAGCTCAGTGTTTTTTGTGGGGCTGGGCCACATTGCCCCTCCAAGAATAACCTATAGGTAACTTGATCTGATTTGGGGAATCCTGGAGAAACATCTTCAGCAGGCCCAGGCAACAGTCACATATTTTTGTAGCTGAGATGCTTGCAAAGCAACCCGGCTGGAATGGTAACCACATTGATCATTTTCCATTTTTGTCTGTTTTTAATGTAGCCTACTACTAGTGTCAATCAAATTATAACTGCTTTTATAGTAGTTGACTTTCACCCATCTTGCCTTACAAAGTTCCATTTCTCTCTTGTCCAACTTTTTAAGTCCCCTCATTTTTTCCCCACTCCCTGGATGGTTCATGTGTTTATTTTTATTATTTCTAAAAATAAACTTTTTTGACTGAATTGTTTTCAAAAAAAATTTATGTTCTTCCTTATTTTCACAAGCTAGACTCAAATAATATAGAAAGGCATTTTTGCTTTATTGTTCCCTATTGTGTCTAGGCATGAGACCAGAAGGTTTCCATTTGCTCAGATTGTTAAGAGATCCTTTTAGTGGATAGGTGCAATTTTCATTTTCAAAAGGGAGCAGGTCATATTTTATCATTTGAAGTGTGGTTGTAAGAGGGTCACATCAGATAGCTTGTTTGTTTGTTTTTACGGGGATGGCTAATGGTTTTCTTCTTTTCCATTCCAGTCACACCAGCTACCCTTGGCAAAGCATCACAGAGTCTGCAAAGAGTTAATCCAGGCCTGAGGACAAGTAAGAATTTCAGTGGTTTCACTGCTTTTAGTGATATTTTCCATGTATTAGTATAATTCAAACAGCTATCCTTTCTCTATTTTATTTGGGATATTGGTAACTGGAAGGACAATTGAGTTAAAATTTTACTGGCAAACAAGAAAAACTATTTTTTTTTCAGGATTTATTTTTCAATTGCTTTACAAGGTGATTTCTTTATTTTTCTATTTTGCTCGTGCTCAGGGATCAAGTAAGGCCAAATTAATGCAGTTAGAAACAAGGAATTGACTTATCATGGGTCAACAATTATTAATTAAATTTAGGAAATTGCTTGCTTTTACAAATCCTTTTTAAAATTATTATCATTTTGAAGTATTTATCTAATGATTTCATTGGCAGTTTAAACTTGTCTCTCTGGCCAAATTGCCTTGTGCTTCAAAATTCTGCCTTCATGTTAACTCTCTCTTCTCTCTGAAATGACGCTACATATTCCCCTCTTATCCTTTGACAATCTTCTCTTCATCTATAAGACTTAGCTCAAGCATCAGCTCTTGGGGAAACTTCCCCACATTCTCTAGACCCAGTTTTTCTACCTTGCATGCATCTGTATTTGTGAGCTTTCTGAGACTGTGACAAAATGCTTGAGAAAATCAACTTAAAGTAGGAAAAATTTATTTTGGCTCCAAGTTTCAGAGGTTTCTATCATGGTCACTTGGTTCCATTGATTCTGGACCTGTAGTAAGGCAGAACATCATGGCAGAGGAGGTTTGATGGAGCAAAGCTTCTTAGCTGCTAATGGCCAGAAAGCAGAGAAGGATCAGAGGCAAGATATAATTCCCAAGGCACACTTCCAAGGATCTATTCCCTTCAAGGTAGTCCCACTGCCTACAGTTTGCACCATTTCCTAATAATGCCATTAAATACTTATCCCCGAGTGGATTAATCTGCTGATAAGTTCAGAGCCATCGTGACCCAAAAACTTCCCAAATTACTTCCCCAAAACATCACCAATACATGAGACTTTAGGAAATATTCCAGATCCAAATTATATTAGCTTCCATGGAACTGTGTTCATAGTTCCATGACAGCATTTATTCCTAATGCTTTAGCATATAGGTAGCATTGTGCATAGAGTTCATCAGATTGTGTGGTCTGCATGAGTGAATTAATTGACTTTAGGTCCATGGTCATGTCTTCTGCTCTTTCTAAATCCCATATGTAACCTAAAAATTCCTGATATCATAGCAGATACCTGTTGAATTAAATTATAGGGATAGATTTTTTTAGCAGTTGAAATATATACCAGAGTCCCTGTTATGCAATAAATGAAGGAAAGGCAATGAATCTAACTGAATTTCATCTATTGATATTTTTGTTGGTAATACTAATGTCATAAAACTATAATTTGGATTTTATCACAAGTTGCAGAGTAAATTTCTAATGTGGGATTTAAATGTCATTTCCTTGGAGATGATCCAAAAATAAGGATTGATGTAATTTTTAACAAATGTCATCCATTTGTCATTTCTTTCAGATCATAAACTCTTTACAACCTTCCTGTTTTAGATGCAACAGATATATTAATCTATTCCCTAATTGGCCATAAGGGGTTTTATATAAAAGGAGTGGTTATGTTTGGGTTATTCCGGTTAGTATATTCCAAAACCTTCATTCAACAGATAATATGACCTATTGCTACTTTCTGTAGGAAAATTAGGAGGCATCAGTTAAGAATGTCTTGCTAATGGTACATGCATCACATTGGAATCATCCTCCACACACACATACATAATAATACAGTGCCTTCTGCTTTTCCCTCAAGTGATAGCATGATTTCTCCAAGCCATTTTGCTTTCTGTCACAGGGTTTAAGAAGCCTAACCATTGCATCTTGTTGAAAATACCCAGAAACACAGTGGATGTGTTGAATAACTTCCTATACTGGGCATTTGGCATGTAATGATTTCCTGTCTTCATGATCAGTAAGAAGACTGTCATTCATATATGATCAATCACATGGACCTTGACCTCCTCACACAAGGTCTACCTTTCCAGCTTTTCTTTATCAAACATTACCTGTGACAAAGTGATTCCTGTGTGTCAACCTGTCACAGGGCACATGATTGAACATGTGGCCACCTCTGTCATCAGGAGTACATCATCCAGATGTGACAGTCCCGAGTGTTCACATCACCTTACTATGTCACTGTGTACCATGTCACTATATCACATATACACTCCCTGCTGTGCACCAACATGTAGGTTTGCATCCTGAGAAGAAATATACTGTCCTGACACCAAGGGGCTCACATTTCTCTATGGGGCTAATTTTACACAAAAAGGTAGGGTTCAACAGGAAATGGGCCAAGAATACACAATTATAATTTATATCTTTCCTTTGTTTGTTTTTTTAATATCTCAGATTCAAAACAAAACCTCATTGCAGGGGTGGGGGCCTAAAATAAAAATGGGGATTTGATGAACATTTGGGCTAAATTCATGAGATTTTATCAAGTATACAGACAGAAATTTTTAGATTATTGTACATCTTTTTTTGTGTGGAGAGGGTTCCCTCTCCTAAAATATTTTTTGTTTTTACTTTTCATATATTATCATAAAAGTGTAAATTTTGTGATTGGTGGCATTTCCACCTCAAAGTAAAATGAATATCTAACTGGGGGAAATATTAAAATATCATTTACTGTACTTGGAAGCATAAATTTATCTGATTTAAAAAAAAAAAAAACAGAGATTCTGAACATAAACATTAATGACTGAGGCCAGAGTAAAGCTTTGACAGGATCCCCAAAGACCATTGTGTCAGATGAGCACAGCAAATTAATTCCTTAAAATTTTTGCAAAAAAACCCCCCAAATTTACAAGCTCACAAGCAGTCTCTTCTTCCAGATGAGTTTCTGCTATTTACCTCCAATCCAGAGATTCCTCTGTATAATCAGTCACCTTCAACAGCTCTCTAGTGAACTTACAATTGTGCCTGGCTTTCACTTTTTAATTAAAAAAAAAAAAAAACAAAAAACACTTTTTTTTTTCAGGTTTTCTCAACCCGTAATGTTATTTGACTTTGGAAAAAAATGTTTTCTTTTCCTCTAAATTTTCTTCCATAGTAAAATAGGTATACAAACTAAATCAATTAACCAACCAATGTACAAACTGACACTTCTCAAGTTGCTATAGACTGGTAGGACGAATCATGGTCCCTCAGGCTTCCTATCACCAATGTTCCCCTCCATTGCTCCAGAGAGACATGCTGTCAAGTTTGATTATATTTTTGTGGGGAGTGGGCTTATTAGCAATATAAAAAAAAACACAAGACAAAACTTGAATATAGTAAACATCATCTTCTGGTTTGGATCCTTGTGCATTCTTGGCTGGATTCTTGCTCTAACTTCCCAATTTTCCTTCCTACCTCCTGGTTTTCCTCATTCCAAGCCACCCTACTCTCTGCTTCAAGATGAGTTTCTGCTATTTACCTCAAATTCAGAGATTCCTTTCTATAATCACCTTCAACAACTTTCCAATAAACTCACTTCCCAGGTATTCACGGAGTTCTGGAACATGGATCATATGCACTTTTCCACCCTATCTCCTTTGTGTCCAAAGTACACCCTATATTATGTTCCCTGCATTGTATCCCCTTCACCAGAATTCCCACCTCTTTTCTCCTGGTCTTAAAGAATCCTTCATGAATTCTGTCCTTAAGCATGTTTGAAATATCACATCATCCTCTGAAGGAGAGGTAGTTTAGCATAGGGGTTTAAGAATGCAGCCTCTGGTTTAAGTCCGGTTCTTTTTCTTACCTCCTGCTTGATCTTGCTTAAGTTGCATAACTTCTCTGTACTTTGTATTTTGTTTTGTTTTAATCTCTAATGAAGAGATAATAATGGTAGCTACTCATAAGACTGTTGAATGAATTATATTTAAAGTAATTATGGTGGTATCTGGCCCCAATGTATGTGGAATATATTGTATTCTCTCATGGATCTTATTTTATTCCAATATGCATTAGATCAAACACTGTGAAATTGCCCATATACAATGAATCATAAACTCATTACTTATTTGCCTCAACCTAAGGCAAACTCTTATGCACTTTCTTACCCATGTTAATAAACTATGCTACGTGCAAAGTTAGGGATTAGGTCTTATAAATCCTGTATTCTACAGCACCTGGAAAGTATCTGGCACAGGCTGAATGTTTAATGAACAGTTGTTGAATTTTTTCTTAAATATTTTTTTAGTTATAGATAGACACAATAACTTTATTTAATTTATTTATTTTTATGTGGTGCTGAGGATCAAACCTAGTGCCTCATGTGTGTGAGGCAAGTGCTCTACCACTGAGCCACAACCCCAGCCCAACAGTTGTTGAATTTTGCACATGCATAAAAAATAAAAAAAAAAAAAAAAAAAATAGAAGTCGTGCTCTCCCCAATATCATAAGTACTCTTTAGCTATCACGGAGTTTCTTCTGTGTTCTTTAGCTGTCATGTATAAAAGGGAAGAGATAAAGACATAGGAGTAGAAATTTTTCTTGCCTATTGCTAAGTATAAATACTTAGTCTTTCCCAAAAGTCTTCATTGGACCTTAACTTCCAGTCATGGATTTGGTGATACAGTTTGACCTTGGAGCACTTTGCAAGACACCCCATGGCATCATTGTTATATCCTGTTGGCGCTTCAGCTGATGAGGGAATATGAATTAGCTCTGCTCCTGCCTGTGGTCCAACACTGCCCCCACAGGAGCTGACTGACCCTCTCAGCTTTAAGCATTTTTTTTTTTTTTTAATCAGATGTGTTCACCATTAAGGGATTCATAGCTGACAACACAACTAAAAGAAGTACTACCTAAGAGAAGCAGGGCCCGCTTCAATACTCATTTTAGCATGAATGTGCAGCATTTCTTTGTTAAAAAGAACTTGAGCATTGGACGTGCATGAGAGAGCAGTACTGACATTAGGTTCTGACATTGAAGCTGACTTTGAATTCCTGTCAGTCTCCTTG